ATGGACGATCTGGGAATCGAACCCAGGACCTACCGCATGCTAAGCGGTCATTATACCACTAAACCAATCGCCCATGGTATGATCTAGCCCGGACTTGAACCGGAGACCTTCAGTGTGGCAGGGAAGAGAGATCGAGGCTCTCGTACTGTTAGACTGACGTGATAACCAACTACACCACCAGACCAGGGAATTTGTTGAAAGCAGGCGTCGGTTTCTGCGCCCTTGGCCCCGCGAGCGCGAGGTGGTGTGGGCGAGGGTTGCAAAATTTTGCAAACGGCTTTGGCAGGGTGGGTCGGGACGGGAGGTCCCTTGCGGTGGAGGTCGGAGCCGACCGCGGCCGGCGGAAGTGGAGTTGGGTTCCGACGAACTTGTCGCTATTTTTAGGAGTGACGGAACGACCAGACGAAGGTTAATGTCGACACGGAATAGGGACGTGTTAGCAGGGCCCTTTTCTTCCCTCAAGGTTGAAATATCACTGGATTTTGGACGGGGGTTTAATGGGATCGACTTGATTGTAGTATTAACATAAACACCACAATGTATGGCTGCCTTGGCCAACGTAATCACGATCACACCCAAGCCAGCGATTAGAGTCAGGGTAGCTTCTCTTGATACACCCCATCAGCCTTGCCACGATTATCTTGCCGTGAAACTCGTAGCCTCGATTGAGTCGAGTCGTCATCTCACTTCAGCCATCAGTTCGACTACACTTTATAGTTCGTAAGATACGTATAGACTACCTCCAAAGACTACGGATGATTTGCTGAGCAATCGAGCAGGTTGTGGGTGCGTGCGTGCGTCCCGAACGGCGGGTGGGGAACAGGCGATGATGCCAAGGCAAAGTCACTGCAGAAAGAGGCGGAGAGAGTCGTGAGGTGCTGCTTTGAATTACGGGCTTCTCAGCCTGGATATGGTTCAAGAATTTGGGGGTCTCTTTTGATGTTGTTGTACAGTTCTGGGTGCCGTGATGAGACTTGGAAAGTTTAGGCCCAATATTTCAGTAACAGCCTCGGTATTGTTACTCCATGCTCTCAAGCTGGACAGCGGATGCAGAACAGGAGCAAGTAATCATGGTTACGGTATCACCTGGCTGTGGCTTTGAGAAGCTAAAGGTACTACTAATGGAGGTCACACACTTTAGAGTAATAATGGCCTTCTGGTGAGTTGCCGAGCCTTTGCTCCATTTGGTATCTACCGAGGATGAAGAGTTGCGTATAAGTACACTGTACGATTGAAAAAAAGTGAAAAGTTGCCTCTCGTTATGAACTAAGGGGACGTACATCAGGGTGGCTCATAAAGAGGAATATTTGTAGTCAATGAACATCAGACAACAGAAAAAGAAGCAAAATGACTATGGTGGAAGGAGCGAGGTAGACAGGATTGCCCAGGTGACGCGCCGGGTACTCAAAACAATCACCAGCACCTTGAGGGACACGCATCCCGCGTACGCCCTGCCCCGTATATTCATCCCATCTCATCCACGCTCGACTACTGCCAATATCAGAAGGGTATATACCCCCCCTCAAGCCCAATTCCGTCACCAGCACAGCAGGCGCCCTCTAGGTCGGGGGTCAGGTCAAACTGTGGCGTGGGTGGTGGAATGGTTTAAGGTCGGCATTCAACTTCACGCCAACCAGCCTACTCGACGACAGGCTTAGCGAGTTCGAGTCCCAGCATGTGCACCAGAGATGTAGCCCCCAAATCGGCACCGGGGGGGTGAACTCTTTTGTCAGTTGGTACTGATTTTTTTTTGATGATTTGTAAAAGCTTCTGTGTGTTATTCGAGGAGCCAGTTGCGGTAATTGGTTGCCTACAGCCGTGACTTTTACCCACGATGATTCTTATCTTTAGGTATCTTGTTCGGTAATGGGCGCTTTCCAGTTTGCCATTGTTTCGATGGGGTGCTTTCTTGCACACTGTAATCCCAGAACGCCTGCTTCCTGGATCATCGTTGGTCTGCTAAGGTAAGGTCATGCTGGACGACGCTGACGAAGAAATTGTTGCCGATGCCTTTCTCGCCGTGTCTCACCCCTATCCCCTGTGCGAATTAGATGGTCCGATATCTCAGCCTAGTAAAAGGACGTTCAAGTATCTAAACAAACGCAAAAGGGGATTTGAATAAGCGAGGCAAGGGGGGATGCCATCACGAGGTAACGCTTGTCAGCGATCCTCATCCGTCTATGGTCGTCCTGAAGCTTCATTGACCTGGAGTAGTCACCCAGAGGACTAGGAATAGATGTAAGATAGTCCCTAGCATGGATGTCGGGATGGCTATCTCCACCAAGACGACAAAAAAACCATGAAGCTTGTGGTCCGAAGGCTACTGTGACGAGAGTCATCACATACAAATCAAAGGTCAGAGGCATTGAGTCGAGCCGCATGCACACGGAATGGAGCTGAGTTGATCTCATGGAACCTTTTCAGTTGTCTGAGCCCGAAGGGAAATGACTCCTGTCGCTTGAGGTGTTCATTCGGGATCGAATGATGTATCTAAGTAGCTTCCATGACTCTAAGCACTCGGCATCTGTCGACGGAGTTGTGCAAGAACATCTCCTCTGGCCTCTGTGCTTTCGAGTATTCCTGCGGTCAAAGAGTCACGTGCATCGGATTCCCGTGAGTAAACACCAAAGATATCCTCCTCAGACCGAGCAAGTATGGGAAATTCGCGTGTAGAGGGAAGACAAGGCAAGGCGAGAATCAGAGGACCAATGTATTCGATCTACCTGGCATAGGTATGTATCCTTACGAATGGCTTGTATGTATCTTGATGATAAAAGGAGTAAAAAAGCAAAAGCTCAGGTGCCCAGTTCATGAATTGAAGTGGACCCCCTACGAAATCCTCCATCTATTGAGACTTCTCGAGATTTCATACCAAGTTCGTTACTAACGGACCAGGGCGTTATACCGCTCGACCATGGGGATCGATTGGGCTTGGTTGACGAAAGAGCGACCTCGATAACGATATAAGGGAAGGCAAGGCAAGCACCAGGTAAGTTGCAAGAGGGAAGGAAGGAAGCGTCCCGTGTAAGGCATGAGTTAACAAGGCAGGTACGGTTGCTGACGAGGGGCAGGTGCGGTTAACCAGCGTCCCACCTCTCGCCAGGTACCTTCCTTACCTGCCTCAGGTACCCAGTAGGAAGGAGAGGGGATAGTATATGGGCGTCTTCTCGTCCTATCTGGTCACAAGCGAAAGGGGCAGGTGGTCAAGTGGTTAAGGAGGCGCCAGTGGAATCCATTCTTCCTTGACCGCCCTCAACCTTCGCTCGAGCGAAAACTTTTGGTTCGATTCCCTAAGGATGCCGCTTTTTGCCCCCTTTGAAGATTACGCACCCCCAAGACAGCTCTCAACGATTGGATGTATGCCGTCTAGTAGTATTCCAATGCATAAGACGTCGAGAGAGGGGAAGGATTGGGCTCTGCCTTAGTCGTGTTGCATATGTGCCCGAACGCCGAGGACGGTATGAGTTCAATGGTTCAGGAAGTTTGCTCCGAGAGGAGAAACTGGCCGGAAAGGATTTGAGAACCTTAGATATGTAGTCCTAGACGTTGCTCGGGCATCATCGGCCGCAATTCACGGTGAATGGCAACATGACATTTAGGAGAGTGATTCTCTATTATTGAGCTGTGGCAGCATGGTACCCAGATGATTTGTCTTTGTTTCTACACCCATATGGTACAGTATCTCAAAACTCCTTCTCTTCCACAAAAGTCGGGAGTTTTCCATCCGTCTTCTTTTCGATATTTTACAAGTGCAAAGGTACGGTGACCCCAGTCAATGCTCTTCCACCACTTGCTACGCATCACCAAAAACTACCCCTGAAACGCAATCGTCTACTTCTTCCGCGTCTCGCTCCAGAACTTCTGCCTCTCCTGCTCGCCCCTCTGCTCGGCGTACTTCTTGGCAGCCTTCTCCGCCTCGCGCTTGCGGCCGGCCTCGAGGTGGTTTCCGGCACCGCCCTTTGCGTTGTGAACGGTCTGCTTCAGGTTGTCGACAATGCCCTTGATGCTGCCGGCGTCAGCCGCTGGGGCTGCGGCTGCAGGAGTTGAGCGCGGGGCCTGGTAGTTCAGGCGTGTGGGACCGGAAGCGATTCTGGTCGCGGTGGCTGTGGTACCAATGGTAGGGGCCGGAGTGGCGATGGGTGTGAGGTTGAAGAGGGAGCGGAAGGCGGCCTTGGAGAAGAGCCAGTTCTGGGCGACACCGATGAGACCGGTGATGAAGAAGTAGAACTGGACGCCGGCGGGGAGGTACGAGGTGAAGATTACGGAGAGGGGTCCGAGGATGTACATCATCAGCTTCTGCTGGGCCTTGGCTTGAGGCGTGGAGTACTTGGAGCCGAGCTGAAAGTCGACATGTCAGCATCTAGATCGAGGCAGACTGGGTCGCCTGGGGTTCACGTACCTTGACCATGGCAAACATGGCCATAGGACCGGCAATGGGCAGGAGGAAGTAAGGGTCAGAGACGGTCAAGTCCGTGATCCAGAGGAAACCACCAGTCTCCATGCCAGGGACGGGGATGCTGGCAGCGCCGTTGAGGACGCGGAACATGCCATATCCAAAGGGAATCTGGAGGAGACCCCAGAAGGCGTTGAGGGGGTTCACGCCGGCGCGCTTGTTCAGCATTGACATGTCGCGACGGGCCTCAGTCATGGCGGCCGAGTTACCGCTCGCCATGGCCTCCTGCATCGCCTTGCGGGTCTCGTCGTAGGCCGGATCCTGGTGGAGCTTCTGCATCCTCGCCGAGGTGTCTTGGGACTTGAGGAGCGGCTTGAACATGACGAGACGGAGGAGGATAGCCGTCGCGGCGATGGAGCCCCACCACGGCATGCCGGAGAGGACGTGGACGTGTTCGAGGGCCCATTGCATCACGCTCGAGGGACCCCAGCCGAAATCGAGGCCGAGGGTCTTGAGAAAGCCGATTTGTTCGGGGAGGTCGAGGAGGGAGGCGGCGTCGAGCTCGGGGAGGGAAGAGGTCGAGGGGGCGGCGGCCTCGGGGACGATGGGTGCGACAGGAGCGGCCGGTGCGGAAGGAGGGATGGATGAAGCGGATGCTGAGGCTGCGTCGACGGATCCTGAGGGCGCAACAGGTGCAGCTGGTGCAGTAGGTGCAACTGGTGACGGTGCTGATGGTGCCGGCTGGGGTTCAGACTTGTCCCAGAGGGAGATTGCTCTTCTCGTCTCGAGGGAGCCGCCGATGGCTACTGTGCCGGCGAGGCCACCTAGCCTGGAGTTGGTTGATCTCAGCGCCGCCCACGGCGCACCGCCGTTGCGCATCGAGGTTCCGAATTGCCGTCCATCACCGAGTCGTCTGGGTGCCCGGGCGATCTAGTCACTGCACGTTAGTACTTGATGCAGGCGGGAATTCGAAGGCAGAGAGCCTTGGGAGTCGGAGAGGAAGTATGTACACTTTGGCGGGTTATGCTGCTGGCCACTCTTGTGGAGGGCAGCGAACGAAGAACGCCTCTGCTGGGCAGCATGATGGGCAGTTTCTGAGGGAGGAGGGTTGGGGGGGATGGTGAGAATTGAAGACTGACTCTCCAGTCAACGTCTCTCTATCTTCGATGGCAACGCGAGTTGCTGGAAATTTTTGGGGACCTCGCCATTGGAACCGCGGACGCGCCGGGGAAATGTCGGGTGGGACGGGAAGCGGGTCCAAGCTCCGGCTCCGTTCCGCGGCCAGGGGAGAGTCACTGGAGTCTGGGGACGAGACTCGGGAAGGTCAGCATTGGATATCAGTGACACCGAAAAGCTCGATTGTAGCTGTGCAGTAACGGGCAATTTGCAAAGCTAAGATTGTTGGCCGACCATCAACAAATGAGGGAACATGCTGTATTTTGGTTTCTTTTGATCCTCGCATACGTACGACTCTTAAGTCTTGAACTCGTCACTGTAACCTGGTCCACGCCATCACCATCTGTCCAAAGGCCGTGCTTTGTAAATGTCTTTACTCTTCCCGTACGCCGATGTATGTAACCTTGCCTGAGTAGGTAATATATCTGGCCGGGCATTGTTTATAATAATCCCGACACCGCTGGCAGCCGCTTTCCGCTCCTGAGGGATCCCATCGTTTCTTGTCGTCTCTTTTAGGGCAGGTTGCGATCTAACACGGTCGGGAACATCCTCTTCTCGAAGGTACACTCGTGCTTTTATTCCCAGCCGCCTAGTCACTCCATGCTCGTCAAATCATCGAGACCGGTAGAGGGCCTCCGGTGCTTGTCGCGAATCTCGAGGCCGGGGCCAATAGCGTGCGCCGTTCTCCGGGACATGGGGAACACCTGTAATATGTGTGTTAGATACTACTGCAACAAGTTTCGCCATGTTCGGCTGAATTTTCGCAGCATGCGCATGCTCTGGGGAATGCAAGTATGCGAGCGTCCTACAACTCCGTTCCATACCTTGGTGCCGCCCCATCCTAGCCTGAAGGCAGCCTCATGTGCAAATAGCTCTCCGAAACCCAGCATCATGCCATTGATAAAGGGGAGGAATAGGTTGATAGCAGCCCCGCGGACCAAACCCCAGAACGTAGGCGGCTTGTAGAGGATGATGGGGGAGTTGGACGAGGGAGGTGATTCGGTGAGGTCCTCGCCTTGGGAGTACTGCTCGCTGTCGGACCGGATTGTCACGCCGGACTCGGCAAGGGGGTGGAGAGAGTCGTCGGAAGCCATCGTCGACGCTGGCTTGGGGGTTCGGGAGGTAGTGATCGTGGGGGATGATTGAGAGCTTGGTCGACGAGCAAGTTTACCGAGATTCGGCGCAGGGCAGTTCGATGATGGAACGGGGAGCTACGGCTACGGCATCACCTCGGAAAATCACACCGCAGCTGCCGCCTCCCCCAATGTGCTGCTGCACTACGTCGGCTTGGGGTCTGCGGGGTCTGTGCGTATTGGTCTTTCCCCGTCGGAGCTTCAGCCACAATGGTGCAGATTAGATCAGCCGATGATGTGGCGGTGCATGGTGGGGTTGAGGCACCTCAGTTGGAGCGGGCGGTGGCTCCTCCCTCACGTCACAGGGAACGTGCTAGACGGCCAGGTACCTTTCATTACGGATGCAGCTCCAATGGAAGCAGTTACGACCACTAAGCTGCCTGCTATTCGTCTCCCATTTCGCACTTGATTCACTACAAGGCGCAACCTTTGAAGAGAACCAAACTTCAAGAAGACCACGGATTCACGGGTGATATCTCTACCTACCTTACCTTATTAAACGACGACACAGCCATTCATCAGGTTAAGAGACCACACCTTTCTCTTTCCTTCCTCCGTCCATTGAACTCTGCCTAATCGACACCTCGCATTCCCCGCCAAACCACATCTAGTGCCGCCAACATGTCCGGTAGCTCCAACAGCGCTTCGCGCAACAATATACTTCGCGACTTCAAGAGCCTGACGGGCATGCCCGAAGCGAGGGTAAGGCATATGGAAAGAGCGTGGTGAATTATCCTGCTGACTTTATGTCCAGTGCACAGAGTACCTCGAATCCGCAAACTGGGATATCGGCCTTGCCGCCCAGGCCTACTACGCCGACCACGACTCCGGCGAGGAAGAGATCGAACCCGTTGCGCAGGCTCAAGCTTCTGCTCCTGCTCCTGCCGAATACACCGGTCCCCGAACTCTCGATGGACGACCCGCGCCTGAGTCGGCCGGCAGAGCGAGCACCGTAAAGAAGGCAGCGCCTAAGAAGAAGGGTCTCGCAACGCTTAGCTCTATTGGAGGAGGCCACGCACACGACGATGATGACGATGAAGATGACGAGGACGACGACGACAGAGGCCGCGGCGACCTCTTTGCTGGCGGTGAAAAGTCTGGATTGGCTGTGCAGGACCCGTCTCAAGAGGGCGGTGGTGCTAAGAAGATCATCAGCGACATCCTCGCCAAGGCCAAGGCGTAAGTTGACAATGCAAAAGGATGCAATGAGGAAGACAAGACTGACGCAGACCAGAAACGCATCTCGGCCAGAGACTGCATCGCCCGCGGGCCCTTCGCGCTCCGGTGCTTTCCGCGGAAGCGGCACCACATTGGGTGGCGAGGGCTCAGAGAGCCGCAGTATTCCCGATCCTGATGCTCAAGAGGGTGCGAGTGGCTCAGCGGGTGCGACTGGTGAGCCCCAGGAACGTACACTGCATCTGTGGCAGGATGGCTTCAGCATTGACGACGGCGAACTTCACCGATTCGACGATCCCGAGAATGCGATGGATCTGAACATGATCCGGGCTGGTAGAGCCCCTCTGCACTTGATGAATGTTCGCTACGATCAGCCGGTCGACGTGAAGCTCCATCAACACCAGGAGAACTACCACCCGTTGCCCAAGACATACAAGCCGTTCGGTGGAGAGGGCCGCCGGCTCGGTAGCCCCGTTCCCGGTGAGAGCAGCTCCTCGTCGACCGCAGCCGCCCCTGCTGCTTCAGTCTCGGCCAGTGCCAGCTCGACGGGCCCTCAGCAGGCCGTCGATGAGTCTCAGCCTACCCTGACCCTCCGTATCCAGTTGCCCAACGGCACCAGGCTGCCTGCTCGCTTCAACACCACCAACACCGTCAATGACGTCTACGAATTTGTGCAGCGCGCTTCTGCGGATACCCGCACTAGGTCCTGGGTGTTGGCCACGACTTTCCCCAACAAGGACCACACTGATCGCAGCTTGGTATTGGGCGAGATGTCTGAGTTCAAGAAGGGCGGCACGGCGGTCGTCAAGTGGGCTTAAACCCCGAGGCAGATGGAAAAGAAAATGGCGGGAAACGGGCGGCGTTTGGTACTTTGGGGCCTTGGCCCGCATTATAGCCGGGTAGCTTTGGGTCTGGGCATTTGAGGCCGTTTGCCTCTGTGTGGAATGTAGACTTGCTCGAGAAATAGACATGCCCACATGAAACAGTAACATCAAGTCAGCAATCCTTTATTGCTTGCTGCCACAGTACCCTGTTCTAAGTGTACACGTACTTGTCTGTTGTACAGTTTTGAGGTCCCTTCAACGCCCTTTCAAATGGTATCATTAATCATCCCTTGCCATACGCCGCTGCGGCAAACTGTTTGTTGCCTACACGTATAATCCAACTAGAAACAGATCTGCGAGGTCCGCGTTATTGACAGCCCCTCTGTGGAATACTCTCATGCTGTGCTGCCACCACCTTGCGAGATCATGGTGGCTGGGCCGTCTAGGAATTTGAAATGCTCAATCGCGATCTGGCAGTTGAGCATGGCGGCGTTGAACCTAGCCTCGCCGGGTGGAAGAATGACCATGAGGTAGGTATTCGTCGTGAACTTGAGGATGAAGAGATTGAACCGGGTGCCGGCCTTGTGCTCCATCCGCACAAACTGCTCTGCGTTGCGCGGGGTACCGGTGAAGCGGCTGATAGTCTGCTTGAAGTGCTTCATGATGTTGGACATGCGCTCCAGTCTGTCCTCGGTGGGATTGCGCTGGCCCTCCTCCGAGGTCCAGGAGGAGACGGCGAGGAAAGAGGTGCGCTCGAAGAGGAGAAGCTCCTCTGCCTCGATGGCGACGCCGAGGTTGGCGAGGTTGCGTTCGATTGTGGCCAGGTTGGGGACGAGGTCGTGGATGATGCTTGCCCAGGCCTTGTAGAGGCTCTGGTCCCAGATGCTGGTGGCGAAGGGGGTGATGTCGAAGCCGCCAGCGGGGGGCGCGGTCGATGGGCTGGTGGGGTCGTCCGCGGCGTCTGGGTGCTGCTGGTTGAGGTAGCCGATGCTGTTTGCGTACTCTGCGGTGCGCTGGCGAACGACGCGGACGCGGTCGTCGTAGACGGATTCGCGGTGGGCGGGGACGACGAGGTCCATCTTGTGGATGAGGACGTAGATTTTGGCGCCTGGGGAGAACTGGAGGAGGGCGGAGATAATGGAGACGTAGGTTGCGAGGTCGCGGTCAATGTCGCGGGACTCAATGTCGAAGACGTAGATGAGAACGCCGACGTTGGAGAAGACGTGGACGCGCTGCTGGGAAAGGTAGTTTTCCATAAAGGCCTCTTGGCCGCCGCAGTCCCAGAGGTTGAGTGTGAGGTTTCCGAGGAATTTGACGTGGGAGAGGTCGATGTCTATTGTTGCGCCGCTGTTTGGTGGGACGATTAGTCTCTACACGGGCGACATGGATGGAACGACCACAAGAAATAGGTGAGAAGGACTTACAGTCTCCGGGTATCACGGGCAATGTAGTTGCTAAAGATGATGCTTCGCATGCTCGACTTTCCTGAGCCACTCTTTCCCATGAGCAGGACCTTCTTCTTCTTGGGCTTCTTGACCTCAGCCAAGGGCGTGTTGCCCGGGCCATTGGTGTAGCCGGCGTCAGCCATGATGTGTGTAGGCTATCTTGTGCTCGCGATCCGAAGAGCTATCTAGCACGTGGTGAGGAGGGGTTCGTGGAATGGATGTGGGTGGTGTTCAGCAATTGGGAATTTCGGTGTCGTCGGATTCTTGGTTAGACGATCCGTTGTCGGGGAGTCTTGAGATTTGCGTAGAGATCGAACAGCTCTGGGGATCAAAACGAGTGACTGGTATGCGGTGCTAAAGAAGATGGCTCGATATCGATTGAGTCTGTGTAGCCTCGTTGCGATAGTTGAAATACCCGATGGGATTGAGTGTTGATCACGGCCGCCTACGGGATGGGCTCCCGCGACCTGATTTCCAGGAGCCGCGCAGTACGTACCTTACCTTTACGTAGGTACCTTTACGGTGACCTCCAGGCGAACCGGAGCTTGCGCGCTCCGATAAGATAAGCCGCTACCTGCCCTGGGAGCCCCCCACCACCACGACGGCTGACTACTGCGAGACTTCGTTTCCGCCATCACTCGGTTCTCCATCTTTCAGCCCCAGTTCCACTCGTTCATCCCGTCCATCTGTTGGTTACCCGCTGAGGAATACGATGGCGCCAGACTACCGAAGCTTCTCATCCTTACTGCCGGATTTCGACACAATTTCCCAGAGATCCTGGTGTAACTTGGAAGTTCAAGGCGTGCGCATCCAACACTGGGAATGCCATCACTGGAACGGGTGCGACTTTGTCGTCGATGATACCAAGGATATCTTGACTTACATCAATATCGAGCTGTCTGCCAAGGAATCTCGTCAATGGGACAATGGGGTGACACGAAAGTCCACGAAAGCGCAGGATACCTATGCATCGGTCCAAGGTGTCCGAAAAAAGTCTATGCCAGCGAAGACGACGTTGTGTAACGGCGCATTGCTGGGCATTCTCGACAGAGGTCGGCTTGACAACCATCGCACGCTTCCCCCGCGACACCACCATTCATGATCTGATCATCAGATACGGCGGAATTAACCTTTTCTTATGCCTGCGGGCCACGGGACATGATCTGTCATCGAGCGATGCAGGTCTTGGTTGTTTCCTTCTCTACCACAGAAGTCAACATCGTCATTTGGAAGATGAATCTCGCCGACAAAGTTGCCCTGCACATGGTCTATGGAGTGTCGAGGCCCAGCCATCGAGGGAGTCCAACCTCTTCTATTGTGTCGTGCTCAATGGAAGGGATATGCTAGAGCCTAGCAGTCCAATGGTCACTGGCTTGACTGGCAAAGCTGTCAAAAAAGGGACTGTTTTGGGGTGCCACAGATGCCCCGCCGCAGGCTGGATTTTGAGACCTTGTCTTGGTTGTCGACCCTTAGACTCCCGTCTTAGTCCGTCTCGCTTCTCCCTTCGACTTCGGGCCAATGGCTGCGATGCAGTCACAGAGTCTCGGGATCCCGTCTTGCGCATCAGTGTCTGAAATGATTTTGACTAACGATGGGACTAGTGACAGGTTGTCTATTGGATCCGAGTCGTGCCGTCCGCCCTCTTGTGCATGTTCTGCATGTTCATCCCTCCAAAGCATGATGCTGCCGGCGTACACAAAGCAAGCACATATCACTGTTCAGATCCCCCACCAGGCTGGCCCTGGTGTTTTTGCTGCCTCGTGAATTTGTTTTCAATGTACACGCTGTTCGTTTCATGGTTCGTAGCTGTTTTTGTTTTCTTGAACGAGTCTTTCTTCACAAGCATAGCTGTGCTTGGTTGTGACAGCAGTATCCTGCGTTGATGATACTAAATCTGTGCTCAAGACGCAAGACGCAGAACAACAGGGATAGGGACAAGAGACCATCGCAGCATGTCCAACATGAACCTCCTGCACGCGCATCCGCAGCAGATTCCGCCACGCCGGCCGGAACACCCATCCAGTAGCCGATCACGGGGAACAAGTGCGCCGGGTCAAAGAACCAGAGTCGAAACGCAGTACCGCCCACCGCTGCCAGTCAACCGACCTACCATTCGATCAAGGTATACCTCTCCAGAAGATGCACCAAAGACTGCTGTGCCGCCGGTCCCACTCCAGCGTTCGAGCGCCTCCTCGGGACGCGTCTACAGCTCGTCGACGAGACCTTTTGACAGAAGCCGAAGCCCGGTTATGACGCTTCGCATTTTGTCACATAGCAGAGAAGGACATCGAGACAAGAAGAGTCAGGAGGAGGACCAAGAGAACCGGCTGATCCACGACTCCTGGGAGTTTCCTGTTCCGCCACGGGGCCTCGTACGATCTGGGAACGTCAAGCAGACTTCACCTAAGCGTCGACGTCTGCCACTGAGAGACTCGATTCTCTTGAAACGCAAAGACTCCTCCGATTCATCCAAAGCCGGCGGTGTAGAGACGTCAGCTAGTACGCCTCGCAAAGCTCCTCCGTCGTCGGAGCCACAGACACCGTCTAGGCCGACGCACTCCATGAGCATGCCGGTGACCCCGTCAAAAGAAAGGATGCCAGATATGCCTAGGTATGCGTGCCTATCGAGTTTACCAGTTTTCATGTTGGTCCGCTAATCTGGTGACTAGGCTTGGAGCTCGCCCAAAAGATCAACAGCCCAGTGAGAGCCACTCACAAAACCAACCTGCACGCCTGCCGCCAAGAGACTCCAACCTGGAAAGCTACCGCAAGGATATTAAGGCGTCAAATGATGCTCTGCCAGATGGCGAGAAGCCGTTGGTGTCTCGTATTTGTTCCATGATCTTGGACGAGGAGTTTGGTGCCGGCGCCGACAGATCCTCGACTCCCCTCAAAGTTTGGGACACCGTTGCACGATGTCTCGAGGACATCTCGCGCTTTGCGCAAACAAGAGGTGCGAGCAGCGGAATCGGGGGGGCTGCCCAAGCCCGTCTGGCTCTGGAATCGAAGTCGCTCCATGTGGCGACAGACAGAGCTGGTGGTCAGACGAAAATGGCTGGGACAGACGAACGCAACACACAGTCTTCCAAGGGAGAGACAAGGTCCAGCGGGGCCTCATCGATTGTCGACTACTATTCCTCGAATTATCAAAGAGAGTGCAGTAGCCAAGGTGGGTTGCTGCCATGCCCTTACAGGCTGCGCAATCCGGCACGATTCAACGTTAATGACAAGTGGCACTGCGCCAACGGGAAATGGAAAGACTTTGCAGACTTGCAGTATGTATTATATCATTGTCGGAATCGGAAGGGTCACTAATCTGTTTCAGGAAGCATATCGCAAAGGACCATAAGCGTTGCGGCGATGCTCACCTCTTTCAGTGCCCGCGATGTGAGCATGGGTTCTCGGAGCCCAATGCTTTCAAGCAACACTTGATGCTCCCAAGAGAGCAAATGTGCGAACCAAGATCTGAGGGTGACTCTGAATGGACCGATCCGGAAGACGGCCTCAGCAGTGCGAAAGCACAGAGACTATCTGACCAGATGGGCGATAAGGTTTTCGATTCCTGGGATGAGCTGTGGAAGTGGCTATTCCCTTTAGATAGAGTGGTACCCAAGCCTGGTGAGTATTTCCAGATCCGAGAATGCAAACAGATTCACTGACAGACGTTAGTTGCCTTGCCCGCCGTAGAGCTGCCGCTGGTAGAACAGGAAGTCTTTGCTGCTGGCAACATGTCGAACCTGAAGGCTAGCTTGGAGGAACGCCTTCGGTTTCTCGCCTCGCAATCGGCCGACAGCGGCTCGTTCTCAGCGCAGATTCCCGTTATCACTGCGTCTCTGTCTTTGGATGTTGAAGCACATCTCAGAAGCGTGTTCATCTCATGTCGTAACCAGCCGCCTGTCCACACCGGGAAGTCGTCGGCGTCAGTGGACACAGCTACTGGCCGACCACGTAACCTGTCGTCTGCGTCCAGCTCCAGTACCAGAAGCCTCCAACGGTTCATTCAGCGCGGCCCTACTATTGCCGTGAACGAAACCAAGGGTGCCGCGTGGGACGGCACCAGCCTGGAACGTCAACGTCAACGTCAACGCCAAAGAAGCAATAGCGACGAAGCAAGGCGCGGAAAGCTTACACGGGCCGCAACGCTTCCAGTCCCAACAATGCTCACGATACCATTCCCGCGCATATCGGCCTTGACAGAGCATTCTGACGTGGGGCCCAGCCCAGTCTCGGAACACGACGCGTCACCGAAAGCCCACTCGGACGCCGAGTACTCTTCGGGCGTCGAGTCAACGCCGAGCAGCGCCGGCGGCTACCGGGAATCTAGCAACAGTAACACGACAGCAGACATTCGGTGCAGCAAGTGCAACATGAGAGAGAGTCTCCGACCGGGCGAGGACATCTTCTCAGACAAGGGCCCCTTCAGTAGTTCCTCGGCTGCAGTGCAGGGGACACTGAAGTCGACGTGCAGGTTCTCCGACTCTGGAATCGGAATTCTCTGCAAGAGCTGCCGGATGCTCGAGGAGTTGATTAGTTCGTACTCACGAGCTTCATCGCAGGCGTCGGCCAAATCTGAGCGACTCAGCCTGCCGATGGCTGGTGGTGGTGGTGGTGGTGCTGCTGCTGCTGCTGCCACGGCAAGGAGTACCGCCACGAGCACGACGACCAATACGAGCCCGAACACGGCCCCGACAACGGCGCCGCCGTTCTCGCCGAACCCGTCTGTCTCGGTGGACGAGAGCGAAGAGGAGACGCTGTTTGATTTGATTCTCGACTCGGCGACGTATCTGGACGAGGACGGGCAGCGAAAGACAGAGGTGGTGTCACCCATGTTCCCGCCGCCGCAGATTGGGTTTTCAGAGTACGATCGATATGGTGGCCACGCGGGTAATTGGTTTTGACTCTTTACCGTTTTGGTCTGTTTCCTTTCTGGGTGTTTCTTTTGTTCTTCATCGGGTCGGGGGCGCAGGAATGGAGCGGTGTTTGGCGTTTGGGAACCAGCGTCGCGCACTGCTTTCGGTTTCAGCCGATTGGAAGGAAAATTGCTTGATTATTCCCTATTTGTTATTATTTGACTATGAGTGCTTTTTGGTTTGGTGTTTGCTAGGTTATACGGGATACCGCGGCTTCCATCACGACACTGCAGATACCCACGAGATGCGTGTGATTTTGTTATTTGATTCTTCCAATACCACAATTCCACTCGTCATTTGGAACGACAGTGACTTGTCAAGTTGAATGCATAGGTAGGTGCCCTCACCACATTTCCCCAAGCACAGCTTCTGAGAGACTTTGACTACTGCGCAAGGTAAGTAAGTATTGTATGAAACCTGGGGTTAGATGCCCGCCGTGTCCGAGCAGAGGATCCGTCAGCCCATGTTCCTGGCCAAGAATGCAGGTGCTCGTTGATCTGCACCCGCCGTCCCCGCAATTTTATTTCAGTCTTATGCATAGGTGATGAAAGTATCGTGTAAGTCGTTTCTCTCGTTGAGAAGCTTCACCAACAGCCTCCAATGCAATTGATCAATGGATAAGAGAAATGGCATAGTGGGAAAATTCCCTTTGTCAAGTGTAAAATGTCATATTTTCTGCGATTCCCTTCACGCAGTTTTACAACAGTGAAGCTAGTGACGGGAAAAACTTGCAGTGGTACAACCCAGACACGCAAGACTAACCGCATCAGCCAATTCATCGGATCGGGACGCCCAGTGACGTCGAGGAACAAGGGGTAACCCGCCCTACCGCGGGGCAGACGTCATCCTTACAGCACAGCTTCAGAGGCAAACTGGGGTAGGAAGGTAGCACGTAGGTAGCTCCAGCTCGGAGCTTCCAGCTCTTTAGATGTAAGGGCAATTCGGAAACATGCCACCAGAGCTCGTTCCGGAGCTTCCCCTCCTCCCTAATTACATGTGCCATTGAAATACTTCGCAATACCCTTTCCCCCTCACTCCTCTTCTCCCTTTCCATCGAAAGCTTATTAAAGGTTTCTTTGCTTCTGCCACACAAGACCATTGAGCCCAATCTACGACAACCCAGAGCACAATGACGGACCGAGGAGAGGGCTACAATGCCCGCCTAGGCGTCAATACCAACGAAATCCCCACGGCACAACACTTGCCCGTGACATCGGGCGCTGAGCAGGATCGGTACGGCGGCTGGTTCGGTGGCAAAGCTGACAAAGCTACTGAGAAGATTGAGCATGCCGCCGACAGACTGAAGGAGAATCTCCCCCGCGGCGCCGGCGCCGAACAAGAGCGCTATGGAGGCTGGTTCGGCGGAAAGGCTGACAAGGCCACCGAGAAGCTCGAGCACGCCGCGGACAGGATCAAAGAGAACCTGCCCCGAGGCGTCGGTGCCGAACAAGACCGCTACGGAGGCTGGTTTGGCGGTAACAAAGGGGACCAGGCTGCTGAGAAGCTGAGGCAGAACCTCCCCCGTGGGTCTGGGGCCGAGCAGGATCGCTACGATGGCTGGTTTGGCGGCCACGAGCTTCCTTCTGTTGAGAAGCTCGGTGAGAGGCTGCCGCGTGTCTCTGGTGCTGAACAGGATCGGTATGATCGCTGGTTCGGTGGTAACAAGGGACAGCCCGCCGGCACCTGGGTGAAGGAGCACATGCCCAATGCCTCGGGCGCCGAGCAGGATCGATACGCTGCGCACTGGGAGGGTGTGGTTGACCAGGTCACGGACAAGATTAAAGAGAAGCTGCCTTCTGCCTCCCAGGTGAACGAGAAGCTACCCAAGGGGACTGGCGCAGAACAAGATCAGTTTGGAAGTTGGTTCGGAGGCGACAAGTTGCCATCTGCATCGGACATCAAGGACAAGATCCCAAAGACGTCCGGTGCTGAGCAGGATCGCTTCGGCGGCTGGTTCGGCGGCGACAAGCTGCCCTCTGGATCCAAGGTCAACGAACACCTCCCCCACGCCTCGGGAGCTGAGCAAGACCGCTTCGGAGCCCACTTCGGCGGTAAGGCAGATCAGGCTGCGGAGGGAATCTCAAGAAGACTGCCGAGGGTCTCTGGCGCCGAGCAGGATCGCTACGGCTCGCACTTCAGCCTCCACCCTAGCAACCCCGTCAATGCCGCCACGACATCAACACTTGGCCTCGTACAAAACGCCCTGCTCCCATCCTTTGGCCTCCACGCCGGCCTGAGCACCGTCGTCTACGCCGTCGCACGATATACCGACCGCGCAGACGCGAAAGACTGGCTGTGGCCCTCGGGCCAAGTCGCCAATGCCTGGTGGACCGCCATCGGCGCACGCGTAGTCCACGACGGGCTCTCTGTTCCCTCGGCATGGAACTCTCTCGGATACACCCAGAAGCTGCTTTTGACAGGTGTCAGCGCCTGGGGTGCCCGTCTATTCTACCGCATTGCCACTCGCAGCGTCAAGCGCGGCAAGGACGACGACCGCTACGTCGCATTGAAGAAGAAGGATCCCAAGTTCTGGGACAAGGCCTTCTTCAGCATGTTTCTGCCCGAGGCGGCGCTGCAGGCTCTCATTGCTCTGCCGTTCACGTTGCCCTTCCGTGCGCCTTTGACGAGTGCGCGGTCATCTGCCTTCACCGAGTTCCCTGAGACGTTCCATAGCTTGGCTGTCTTCCTCTTCACTGCTGGTCTTGCACTCGAGACGATTGCGGATAGCCAACTTGAGGAGCACTCCAGCAAGAGCAAGGAGATTAACCGCGAGGGCGTCTGGAGCATCGTCCGCCACCCCAAGTAAGTGCCCCTAGATTCTAGACTGCTTCTCATGGTATGAAAATGCTGACTAGTAACAGCTACCTCGGCGACGCCCTCATCCACCTCTCCTTCCCCGTCCTCCTCTATAGCGCCGGCATGCTGCACCCCCTCGCCGCTCTCGGCCCTGTCGTCAACTACGTTGTCCTCCGCTACCTCGGCGGTGACAAGGTCACCGAGGCCAGCCAGGAGGAGCGTTACGCCAAAGAGAACCCGCTCAAGTTCCAGCAGCTCCAGGAGTACAAGCGCGACAAGAACAGCTTCTGGCCCAGTATTGGAGAATACGATAACAAGTGGTTGTGGATTGTTGCTGCCACGGGTGCAATTGGTGTCGCTGTTGAGCGAGGCCTTCTCGCATACTTCAGGGGCTAAGCTTTGCGAGAGACGTATGTAAAACATGACTGTAGTGTAATACTGTGCGAGTGATTGATCATCGCATCAAAAATGAAGGAAATTGTCAAATTACTGCATGGTCGTGTTTAGGAAGCTGAGGATATGTCCATCCCCTGACTGACGACAATCACACTCACGACGGTCTTTACTGACAATGAGTATTTTACGATATGAATGGTAGTATCATTACTTCATTATCATGAACATCTCAAGCTGCGATGCTCAACTATGTACACTACAAACATACCTAGCCTCGAGGGGCCTGACATCTAATCCCACCAATCTTAGCCCTACAGCAAGCTCAAGTCAAGAACAATGCTCGGCGTGCCCTCGAAGCCCTGGGGCAGCGTGTACGTAAAGTTCCAAAACTCAAAGTCGCGGATGGGCGAGCTAGTGCCTCCCATGGATCCAGCAAACGACAGCGCGTACGTCTCGTTGACGTTACCCGACACATTGACAGACAGGCCCTGAACATCGGCCCAGCCGGTAATGGTGGGCTTCTTGATAAAGGTACCGACGACAAACGTAAAGATGGAGTCGGCGGTGCCGTTGGGGTAGCTCAGGCTCAGCTTATTCGGCGCGACCTCGACGTCGAGCGACATCTCGGTGGGGTACAGCGAGATAAAGGCGATCTCGGCGCCCGTGTCCCACTGCACGACAGCCGGGTTGAAGGACGCCTGGTTGATGGAGGGCCCGCCGACGACGTTCTCCTTGAAGGACTCGGCGCCGATGGTGAGGTTCTCCGAGAGCCAGGTGCTGATGTTGCGGGGCACGAGGTCGTAGGGCGGGTAGAAAGTCGAGGCGGAGAAGGTACGCTCTTCGGTGCCAAAGGTGGTGAGGTTCGCGACGAGGCCTTCGGGGAGGAGGCTTGCGTGGAAGTCGGCGAGAACGGCGAAGAGGGGGGCCCAGGCGTAGTCGGCGGCGTGGGACATGACTTGAGGCTATTCAGAGTTAGTATGCCTCGCTACTTCGCTCTCTCATAATGCATATGAGAACTGTGTTGTGCTGGAGAAAGACAAACACTTACAGCAGAGATGAGAGAAGAGTTCTCCTTCCCAATCAACGTCCAGAACCAGAGCGCCATCAAGCTGACGTAGCGGTTCATATCGTACCCGTAGGCGCGGTCCCAGGGGCCAGCCATATTCTTCATGCCCGGGTGCCACAGCTGCGCGACGGCCTTCCACGTGTCGGCGAGCATCTGCGGGCCCTTTTGGGTCATGATCGAGTCCTCGGGGAGGTATTTGGACCAGAGGATCAGCCCGAAGAGGGAGACGCCCGTGTAGGTGCCCGAGTTGAACTCGGAGAGCGTGTTGGCGCGGTCAAAGAGGTCGATGATTTCCTGCGCGTACGACTCGCCCGAGGCCGTCATGTTGGAATCGTTTAGGCGGCGGCCGGTGTAGCCTGAGACGAGGGCACGCATGATGGCCTTTGTACTGTTAGTGTCTGCTCTGCGATCTGGAGGGAGGGAGGGGACTTACGGGGTTGCTGTAGGCTGGGTAGAGGTTGTCGTCATCGACGCCGCCGACGCGGTACTCGTCTCCCTTTGTGGTGTTGTGCAGCGACTCGAGGATGAGATCCTGGGTGTCGTTGCTCAGCAGGTGAGGGAACTCCTCCAACGCCATAACTAGCGTCGTGCCGACGAAACCTCTCCAGTTGGGGTCCCACGAGTTGTAAATGCTATCCTCGTAGTAAGGCGATCCCACGTACGGCTCCCCATCGTACTTTTGGTAGTCTCCGTACCTTTGTGTTGAAAGTCAAGTCAGTCTCGTGCACCCACCCATGTCAACTCTACGTAAAGTAAGCTCTCACCATTGCTCCGAGACATTCTTGAACTGTGCGCCAATGGTGTTCTTGATAATCTTCTCGGCCTCTGCAGCGTCGTCGCCGTCGTTGCGCGCAAGCAGACCCAGGGCGTACCAGACGGAGCTGCGCGTCTCGTGCCGGAGCGCGGATGCGGATCCAATATCGTAGAGGTACCCCGCGGAACGGTCGTAGTACTGGTCCATCCACGCCATGGACTCAGTCAAGAGGCCCTGGGCATTGGTGGACAGATTGGCGACGTACGGCGACACCGCCATTGTTGAGCTGACAAGGGCCAGGATGCCCATCGTCTTAAAGGGGACTGCCATTGCGGAGGGAGGAGAGGACGAGAGGGACCAATTGGCGAATTGCAGAGTCCGAGGGAGGTAATTGGAAGCTCTAGAGAGACCTGGGGGTAGAGGACTCAGTTGCGATCCCGGGGATGTGGTGTCAAGCTACCTTAATATACACAATCATATCGAATCTCGCTCTCTCTCTTCCTCTCTCCGCGGCCAAGACCGCGGCCAAGAGTTGTCCATATCGCGCTGGGCCCCCGGAAGATCGTCGTCATTACACAGATACGGGTAGAAGCCGCGTGACCGGCGACGAACGGCAGTGGGCGAATACCAAGAGATGTCATGCTCAAGCAGGAAAACCCCTCCCCCGGTGTCCCAACCCGGGTGCGCAATCAATCAATCAAGAAGGACAAGCTACTTTAGCGGCGGTGGCTGGGTGGGTTCCTCTCTCGACTTCGTGTCGGTGATGTTGGCCAGGTTTGGTAAGAATGCGGAGGTGATAACGAGGGTGGGAAGACATGGGGACCTTCGATATACGTCGTCCTAGCTTTGGAAAGGCGGGATGAGAGTCCTAGTCTCGTAGAGAACATGAACGATTCGGATTCGTACGCACTAGGCTTTGGTTCAGTGGGACGTTGCAATTCCCAACGGCGGGAGAGACTCCCTGCAGCCGAGGGAAAGGTAGGACGAAGAAGCATTTCGGGGCATCCCCGAGCGAAGAACAGGTGATGGCCCAGAAGGACAGTGGTATCACTGGGTTACGGGCATGAACCGGGGTTGTGGAAGAAGAAAGCCGGGGGAGATGCGAGATGCCCGGTTGGCTCTAACAAGGATCGTCCCTGACCGATGACTCGGTGCCCCCTGGCTCGTCTCTCTTCTCCGCACTTTTCGCAGTCCAGAAGGGCAGAAAAGAAAGTGTTCAGATTGTGTGGTACGGTTTAAGGTCCGATGAACGGGGGCAGCTTGTTCTCTTTGGAGAAGTTGGAGGACCCGGTCCGATGTTTACCGGGTGATAATCACAACTATCAACCGCGGCTCTGATGCCCGTATCTTTACACTAATCAACTCCTTCGCATACTAGCAGACTTCTGACTGGGACTATGCTTTTATCTGCCCCATAGCTCTATGATGGACCCGTGGTATCGGATCGCGGCAAAGCACGGCTTGTTTCCGGGGGACACACAAAAAACCGTAAACACAATCGTTCTTCATTCTCAATTGATGGGGTAGAATCGTCTGATGGGTCTGGCTGAAGCCAAATCAGCCCCATACGCACACTATCAATTGTGGACTAACGGCATTCTGGGGGCGGAAAACACCGAAAGGGTCCTACGGGTCTGCATGGATATATGTTGACGATGTCGCCCACGCGTGACTATGGCACGCGGACACGACCTGTCGAGATGCTCAGTCGATAATTGACAATTGAAAAGATCTTGCAGCTGTGAGCGAGCATCACTTTTGCCAGTGTTCAAGCGAGACATCATGGCAGACGTCAAGACACCCACCGACATCTCGTCGAGTCCGAGGCGGAGCGTCGACGCCGCCCCAGAGAAGACCCTTGACGCAGATGAGATCCGTTTGGCGCAGATGGGTGAGTTTCTTTACCATCACCATCCGTCACACACCTATTGACACATGCTAGGCCACACCCAAGAGCTCAAGCGCCATTTCAGCACGCTGAGTCTCATCGGCCTCGCATCAACGACAACAATCTCGTGGACGGGTCTCGGCCTCGGCCTCATCACCGAGATCAACGCCGGTGGGCCCGGCGCCGTCATCTATGGCTTCATTCTCGTCACCCTGCTCCAATGCTTCCTCGGCGCGTCGCTGGCCGAGTTCGTCTCGTCGTATCCCACCGAGGGCGGCATGTACCACTGGATCGCTGCCGTTGCGCCGAGGAAGATGACAGGTGTCTTGAGCTTCTTCACCGGCTGGTTCAGCGTGCTTGGCTGTAAGTTGTCTCACACCTCAATCATGTGTTGTGATGGGGAGACTGACTTACGTGGTATTCAGGGATTTTCACGACCGCGTCAACGAACCTGATCTACGCTCAGGTTCTCATGGCTCTGATCGCGCTCTACCACGGAGACCTCGAGATCCAGGCGTGGCAGACGTTCATCGTGTACCAGGGGCTGAATCTCATCACCGCCGGGATCGTCATGTTTGGCAATAAGATTATTCCAGGGCTGAACAAGTTCTCGCTCTTCTACCTACAAATCGGCTGGTTCGTGGTCATGGTCACCGTGGCGGCGTGCGCCCCCACGCACCGCAACACCGAGTTCGTGTTCCGCACGTGGATTAATAATACCGGTTGGGAGAACCAGGTTGTCTGCTTCATCACTGGGCTGGTCAACCCTCTTTACAGTCTCGGTGGGCTTGATGGAGTCACGCACATCACGGAGGAAATGCCAAATGTAAGTCATCCCCCGTTCCCCTATCTCTCGAAAGACCAAGCGTGTGCTGACCCTTCATTAGCCGTCTCGCAACGCACCCTTGGCTATTGCCATCACGCTTTCCATCGCCTTCGTCACGGGTATCACCTACCTAATCACCCTCATGTTCTCCGTCCAGGACTTTGACGCCCTCTCCACCACCAACACCGGGCTTCCGCTGGCTGAGCTGTTCCGCCAAGTCACGCAGGGCGCTGGAGGAGCGTTTGGCTTGACGTTCATCCTGTTCGTTGCTCTGGGCCCCTGCGTCGTCAGCTCCCAATTGAGTACCGGTCGTGTCTTCTGGGCCTTCTCCCGTGATGGCGCCATGCCCTTCTCCCGGATGTAAGTTGGGCCTCACTCAATTCCTGCATCGTTAAATACGATAATCCTGACATGTTCTTGATAGCTGGTCGAAAGTTCACCATAAGTGGCAGATTCCCATGAACTCCCAACTCGCTGTCACCGCTGCTGTCGCAGCTTTGGGATGTCTCTACCTAGGCTCGTCTACCGCATTCAACTCACTTCTCGGCTCTGCTGTCACCATCAACAACATTTCTTACATGTTCCCCATCGTCACGAATCTCTTGACGCGCCGGAAGAACATGCACCGCGGCGTGTTCCATATGGGACCGACGTGGGGTCCGATCGTCAACAGCGTCACCGTCTGCTGGCTGACATTTGCCATTGTATTCTTCTCTTTCCCGTACGTGATGCCTGTTGAGCCTGCCAACATGAACTACACTTGCGTCGTTGTTGGTGGACTTACGGTTCTGGTTGGCGCATGGTGGTTCAAGGCTGGCTCCAAGTACAGCGAGAAGATGCTTCAGGCAAAGGAGGAGTAATTAGACCCGGGTCACTAGAATTCATCTCCCAGAGCTGTGGAACCACTGAGAGTTCCCTCATCTCTGTTCAACTTTCACACTAGATGCTTAAATATGCGAAGGGCACATAGTGTAAGCTACATGAATGTATTCAGAGCCGGATTACCGGATTTCAAAAATTTGTCCCTACAGGTTTGACTTTGATACATTGGACCATCCCGTGATTCCCGTCACCTCACGGTCCTGCAGAGCTCAAAGGTCAGGACTTCGGAATACTACTGCACCATGCTTAGTTTGCATGGATGTACTAAGTAATTTAGGGTTCCAATTTGATGCCACCCAGCTACCGGATCCTTGGGTTAATCCACGTGGGGTTGACAGGTCCCGAGGACCCCCTTTCGCAATGTGCTACCGGTCAAGCCGGAGAGCGAACACCGGAGGGAGGGAGCAGTCCGGCGACGATGACGGGTAGAATTGCCGATCCAATATGTGAAGCTTTGCTTGTGCACTAGAGGTATAGTTGCGTTGACTGCCTGCGGTATCAGAGCTGGCTGGCTATCATCTGAAGATTATTATACTCCCATTCACCATTGCACTTCTACATTCACTGCCTAAGCAATAACAACCTTAGAACATATCAAAAACTGTGGTTCACTTTTCACCTTATAACTTACCCCTTACTCTAGATCTATTTTGTCAAGACTACATCAGACACGATGAGGCTTATCATCAGGCCTGATAGTGCATCCGCATCTGCCCATGTTGCACACTACATCCTCGGTATGACCTCTATATCACCTAGGGCTTTGACGAAGATAATCCAACCGAGTTCTGACACCTTCTAGACCGCATTAGAACCTTTGAGCCAACACCAGAGAAGCCATTCGTTCTGGGTCTGCCTACGGGCAGCAGTCCGATCCAGATCTACGAGATCCTAGTTGCAGAGCACAAGGCTGGTCGTATCTCCTTTCAAGATGTCATAACCTTCAACATGGTCAGTCATCTTCTTTGCGAGTCCCTCATAGTCTGAATATCGCCGTCTTACAAATGCGTCAAAAAGGATGAGTACGTCGGCCTGCCACAAACGCATCCCGAGTCATACCATAGCTTCATGTTCCGCCACTTCTTCTCGCATGTCGACATCAAGCCCGAGAACGTCCACATTCTCGATGGCAACGCGCCTGATTTGGATGCCGAGTGCGCCTCCTATGAAGAAAAGATCAGAGCTGCCGGCGGCATTGACCTCTTCCTTGGAGGCGTTGGCCCGGACGGCCACATCGCTTTCAACGAGCCTGGATCAAGTCTTGCGTCTCGAACGAGGGTGAAAACCTTGGCGATGGATACGATTCGGGCGAATGCTCGATTTTTTGGTGGCGACTTGAACAAGGTTCCGCAGATGGCTTTGACTGTTGGCGTCCAGACAGTGATGGAAGTGTGTATTAGCCTTTTCCATCCCCCGCCCTCTATTCCCAGGGGAACACAAGGCACTTGCGCCTGCAAAGAACGGAGTCGCTGACAATTATGGACAGGCAAGAGAAGTGGTCATCATCGTCAACGGAGCCAGCAAATCTATCGCTCTCCAGAAGGCGATTGAGGGTGGGGTGAATCACATGTGGACGCTGTCGTGTTTGCAACTACACCCCTACTCAATGATCGTCGCAGATGAGGACGCCACATTGGAGTTGCAGGTCAAGACAGTAAAGGTATGAACCTCAACTTCATTATTTTTCGTGTCAATGTTTCGCTGACTTTTACACCTCCGTAGTACTTCAAAAGCATTGAAAAGGTTGGACTCGGAAAAGGTTTCGAGCAGAAGCTGCCTTTGAGGTTGAGGACCACGTCACTTGTCAGCCCTCCCCAGACGCCTCAAACACCATCTAAAGCAAAGCCGACGTTTGACGAGGATCACTTGGTGGAGTTGACACCGGACAGCATGTCGTCTCGTATTGCTTCATGGCCTGTCATTTAGTTAACGGTGATGTTTCGCGTGGATTGATGGATTGGGAGTGGATGGGTACTTGTCACTTGAACACCCATAGTTAAGAGTGCAGATAATTCTAGAACCAATCAGTCAACGAAGTAAAAATTGCATAAAAGCTTCATGTGAATGCAAGTGAGCCACTCCAGGATGACTGGCTGAGTGAATGAATTCAAAGACTATCCTCCCTGGTTCTCATACGACCAAAGTTCATATCCTGCTTGCAGACTCGACTGGTCGAAGATATACCACGAATTATCCAAGTTCCGGATCTCTTGCTCAAACACCTCGGCATCTCCTGAAGCGGGCGTATGTAGGCCCTGAAGTTTCTGTTCCAGTCGTGTAGCTAGAATGCCTCGCAAACTGGGCTTCGGCTCGTGCATTTCCTTCAGCTTTTGGAGATGAACTCCGACGTTCTCAAGATCTAAGAAATATTATCAGATTAGCTATGTAAGGTACCCTTACATCGGTCACGAAGTGGGCGTTGACTTACCATCCGGTTCCCCTACTCCGCCATCTACCCCTTGAAGTACAATGAGAGCAGCCCAGGTGATCATGACGAGATCCCAGTTCGACCATATCGAAGCATCCAGTATTTGGAGCTTAACCGCCGCTCTTGCCGACACAAGTAGCTCATGCTGCTCTTTCGGCGTCGTGTTCGAGAACAGGTTGCAGCCTCGAGCAGGGTGGTAGATGGACAAGACAAGCAGCCTGTGCAGGATATACTGCCGAAACACGAGCTTCTTCTCGTGCTCCGACTCAAAGTCTTTGTCACTGAACTCAACGAGCCAATCATCTAGCTGCCTTGCCCAGTCGCGGATGACAGCGCCGTCGACGCCGCTAAACTGAACGGAAGAGATCTGTGACACGCTGGGTTCGCTCTCGAAACAGGACCATATTGTTGGCAGACCTCTGCCTGTGAAGTGGGTGAGGCCGGTATGCATCATTCTCGAGAGCCGGTAGAGTTGGTCTTGTATTGGGATCTTGAGTCGTGGGAGGGGCGCCTCGATGGGTATGACTGGGCAGGAGAGGTGTATTGAGGCGTGCTCCAGGTCAACGATCTGCTCGATGTTAGAAAGATGGAAAGAACCGCTGGACAAAGTTGTTACCTGGAGGCCAGAAAACAGGCGTTGCCACTCGCGGGATCGCTCGTCAGTGTTGGAGGGACAGTGCTCCAGTATGAGGCGGTAAGCAAGAGAGATCCAGATCCCCGTCTCTTTGACGACGGCTTCCCGTAGCAGGCCGGCGAGTATGATGCCCAGAACCGTTTGAAAGGCCCATTCTTCAGCTGAAGCTGGGTCATCCGGGGCTTGGCCGACTTCGCTCTGTGGTATACACAATTGGGAGATGGCGCTGCACAAGACATTGAAGTAATCTGGTGCCAGAACTGCAACTTCTGGCAAGCCTCGTATACTTGAGCAGTATAACATTGAAGCTAGCATGAGTGGTCTCGGCGATGAGAAGGTCTGCTTGGTTGGGAGGAAGTGAAGTCCTGGCATGGTTTCGTGGAAGCTGCAGTCCGTCAGATATGTTGGAGCAACTACGAGGTATGGTGTCGAGAAGTTGGGGCAAACGTACGATAACCATAGTCTTTTGATGAGAGACTTCTCCCAAATGTTCGAGCCTGCGTTCGATGAGCATGTTCTTCGTAAGACAGATACAGCGCTCCAGAGGGCACCAAGCGATGTTTCCCCGGGTGTGTCGGGTTCGAATGTTGGTACATCTGGGGACGTGGGTGAGTCTGCTTCATCCAAGTTGGTGAGGACTGGCAGACCCAAGTGGTCTTCAAGTCGCTTCAACCGAAGAAACACGGATTTGTTTAGTGCTGGAGCGTGCTCATTTGCCTGGATCAATGAAGCCAGCGAGAGACTTTCACGATGAGAGGCGGACTAGACGATTCGTCAGACACGTCTTGGGAGGTTTGCAAATACAAATGAGACGCTGGGATAATTGCCTACGTTGGCTCTAGGTACGAATACGCACGGCACTCCCGCGCGGAGGCATCTTCGACAAGTGGCCCCATTCTCAATTCTACATTTCATCTGTCGTCACGAAAAGGCCGATTAGACCATTCGCCTTTACCAGAGGACCAGCTCAAGGCCGACGTACCTTTTGCCGTCTACAATTGACTTGAAGTGGACACACCCGTCAGCGTCTACAGTCGCATGCAATGAGACGGAGTCCACCGTGTGCTTACCGCATGCCTTCCGGGCCTTGCTCGGGCCCGACTCATCCGGCCCATCGGCCGACGCTTTGTCCCTCATCTGGTGAGCAGACATTATGAAAGCGTTTCGTTTGTGCAATGATACTTCGAGTGCGTTGTTCGAGTCCCACTCTATCAATTGCGACAGTTGCGACAAACACCGGTGTCCAACGGCCTTGTTTTCCGCCAGGTTCGATTCACTTTTGCATTCTGCGGCGGGTACCCGGTGAAACAGGTGGGATCGGGGCAGAGTTAAGATTCACCGGTCGCACCGGGGAACCGGTCCTTTTGAAGATTTGGGTGACGAGTGCTAACGCGGGGTCCTTGACCCGGTCCTTGATAGGCCGGGGGGTTGTTATTGGAGGGATTTCTGGCTAATTTCAAGAGGTCCACCGAGCCAACCCGGTCCGGATTCACCGGGGCATCGATGGTTGTGGTAGACAGCGCCAGCTATGAGTGTTCTTGGTTCTTACAGTACATTCCGATGAGATGACCTTCCTTTTCTTTCCGAACGGTTGTATCCTAGCTGCAGGAATTGGTTCAAGTTCCGGTGCCAAATTCGTTCTTTTTTGCCGCGGGGGTTTGAATACTTGATCGGTTGCCAACCTGCTGAGTGCGACTGATAGGCGCTGGCACCCATGAACCTAGCCTTTCCCACCAACACTGCCTACGACTAACATTGTCTGTCGGCAGAGTGGTGTGTTTCAATGTCTTTGATTGATTCTGAGCGTAACAGGGCGTCTGAGTTGTTAGCTCAGGCCCGGAAAATCGCACATGACTTCGATTTCCCAGCGGCAGATGTTCGTCGCGCCACGACTCATTTCTTAAAGCAGCTCAGTAAGTCCAGTCAACTCTGGGTCGTCGCACAGCAAACTGATATCGCAAACAGATGAGGGCCTTGAAGAAGATGGCACCTCAATGTGCCAGATTCCTTCATTTGTAACCAAACTTCCTAATGGTTCTGAAAAGGGTGTCTGCTTGGCTATCGATCTTGGCGGTACCAACTTGAGGGTATGCTCTGTCGAATTACACGGAGACTCCACCTACTCCTTGACTCAGTCCAAAGCTGTCATCCCCAGGCACCTAATGGCTGCGCCAACATACAAGGATCTCTTCAGATTTATCGCCTCGCAGATGAAGGAGTTTCTGGAGAAGCATCACCCAGAAGACCTCACAACATGGTCCCAACTCCTGAAAGAGGGAGACGCAATTACTGGAGAAACAAGACAAAAGCACTGCAAGAGCCTTGGCTTCACTTTCAGTTTCACTTTCGATCAGCATGCCATCAATAAGGGAACACTACTGTATTGGACAAAGTCATTCGGTATCGCTGACGCAGTTGGCCGCGACCCATGTGCCATGCTGCAGGAAGCCCTCGATGAGCAACACCTGCCTCTCCTGGTCACAGCATTGGCGAACGATACTGTCGGCACTTTGGCCGCGCGAGCATACACATCTCCGGGTCGTTCCAGTAATGTGGTAGGCGCTATCTTCGGAACCGGGACCAACGGAGCGTACATGGAGCGCATTTCTCGTATCACCAAGCTGCATTCACGTGCAGAGTTCTTAACTTCGGCATCGGACGCAATGATGGCGCTGAATACCGAATGGGGAGGATTTGACAACAAGCTAGAAGTGCTACCTTCAACACGATTCGACCGAGACTTGGACAGAGACTCTGTCAACCCAGACGATCAGCATTTCGAGAAACGCATATCCGGCATGTACCTCGGCGAGCTACTCCGAAGGATATTAATCGACCTGTCACAATCGGAACATAGCCTCTTTGACTTTCAAGTTTCGGGAGACCCCCCGCTTTACATGCCTGACAGCATCGACAGTTCTTTACTGTCAGCAGTTGTCAAGGACTCATCTCCAGCGCTAGAGAGCGCGCGCAAAGAAATCGCAAGAGTGCTTGGTGCTACAGACGTGTCGGCAAATGATGCAAAGGCAATACAGATTCTTTCCGCGGCTATTGGACGTAGATCAGCTAGGCTATCTTCCGTCGCGATCGCTGGTGTTGCTCTCCAGTCCGGACTGTTTACACCCAAAAGCACTATCAAGCCAGTAGCACCGACATCACGAGGCCTGGGAATCAACCTTCTCAAACCTTTCCTCTACGGGGCACGAAGTCTGTGGAACCTGCTTAAGAGTTGGCTTCACGTCAGAGTTCGTTTCGCGATTCCATCAAAGGGCATATCGCGCGTGGTACCGCGGCCAAGGGACCGGGGCAATTATCAGACGGAAACTGATGGCGAGGACTCGAACGAAATCATTGATGTGGGCGTCGATGGTTCTTTGATCGAACACTTTCCTAACTTTGAAGAGCACCTGCGGGAAGCTCTGAGAGAAATACCGGAGATTGGTCTCATGGGCGACAAGAGAATCAGGATCGGCATGGCGAGAGATGGCAGCGGAGTCGGGGCTGCTTTGATTGCATGGGCGGCGAGAGCATAATATCTGGAGTCACGTCAACAAATGAGCACTTGAAGTTTTGAACATAAGAAAGTGATGTACCATCATTGCTAACTACATCATGCGGGTATGATGCGACCCAGTTTCAAGGCGGAAGAAGGGTGTACCGCGTTGGCTACCTGTAAGCGGCGAGTAATGATGCAAATTTCGCAAGGCCGACTGGAATTCCTATTCACTGTCAACCACAAGAGTTGTTCATTTTGAGATGATTGAAGACGAACTCTCGAATCTTGCGCTATTCACGAGCTAGATTTCTCTATATAAGCTTTCTGGTCAAGACTTTTCACTCCAACGCATAAGATGCCATAACACCTTTGACTGTCTGATAGAATATCTCAGAGCCCCAAAGACGGAGGTTAGGTCAAGCAAATAATTGAAAGAAATTCTCAAGGGAAATTTGGAACGTTCTTCCTCTTCGCAACACAAAGCTTCGCATTATGCATATGCGCCGCTTGATCAGCCTAATGTTGAAGGCCAGCAAAGGCCATGCACACATGGCCATGACTGACCCGCCCCCAATTAAAGCCAAAGAGAACCCAAACACTTCACCCGAGAACGTCGACTATAGCTACACAACCCCGCTATCGTCGAGCGGCTCCGACTTTCCTTGCAAGGGCTACTTGAGCCTTCTAGGTAGCCCAGGAGCGAAACCCGTCGACACATGGAATGCCGGCAATAGCTACTCTGTCACAATCTCTGGCCATGCTGTGCACGGAGGTGGATCATGCCAGATCAGCCTCTCGGTAGACGGCGGCAGTTCATTCAAGGTTCTCCGCAGCTTCATCGGCGGCTGCCCAAGGGGCGATGCTACTCAACTCGAATTCAGACTGCCTGGCGATACACCGTCTTCTGACCATGCAGTTCTCGCCTGGACGTGGTTCAACAATCTTGGCAATCGGGAGATGTACATGAATTGCGCCGTTATTAGCGTTGCAGGCGAGGGTGGAGGAGAAGGCCATGGCGAGAGCTTCAACAAAAGACCAGAAATGTTCAAGGCGAACATGGGCAATGGATGCAGGACGGCAGATTCGAGAGACGTCATGATTCCGAATCCGGGGCCGGACGTGGAAGTCAACAATTCCGATGCTGTGCCGCCAATCGGTGAGTGCGAATCCGGACCGGGAGCAGCAGCGGGGTCGGATTCGGGGCCAGGATCCCGTAGTGGAGGGAATGGAGGAATCTATAAGCCCGGCAATGACTGGCCTGCGGACTTCAACCCGAATTCTGCCAGAATTATGGCTCATGAACAGGCACCAGGGCTTATTGACACTTGTTTCGCAATTATTTCTGTCTGTTTGTGTTGGGACTTTTGGATAATTGGCATTTTTACGGGCTTGACTTTCTTAAGACGTTGATCAAGCTACATCTCAGCGCTGCTGCTAGTCAGTAGGAAATAGCGGCAAAATGTAGAAATTAATATCAAACGATTCTTTTTTGATCATTGAACCACTCAGACTATTAAAATGTGTGGATTTGATCGATCCTGGGGATCGAGAGGGAAATTGGCAAAAGATTGAGGTCGTACCCGGGTTCGAACCGGGGTTGCCGGAAAGGTTCGATTTTGATGTTATCAAAATCCGGAGTGATAACCACTACACTATACAACCTTTGATGGAGGACCTTGAGACTTTGCGTGGGTTGTGTAGGGTACGCGCCGCGCAGGCTCGCGAATATGGGGCAGCCAAGAGTGTGGCGGTGGTGGCTGACGAAGAGGGTCGCTCCCAGAGGCATATGACCAATGGACGTTCGTATCTCGAGGGTCTGTGGCTTAAGGAGCCACCACAGGTCCGATGATGACTCATCACGATTACCATTTGCGCCACAAGCCAGCACCCACATTGTTCCCTTCTCTCCTGCCTGGTGATCTACTGGCTGTTGCATTCGCCACAAAGACTCAGTTGTCCACCAGGATGGCATGGCAAGCTTAACCGACCAGTAATGATTAGTTAATGATATGTTTCAGATGCCTGGCGACACTCTATGCGAGAAATACCGATTTACGATTGACTCCTTGAGCTTGACCGGATGCGTGAGCAAATCCGACAAGGCAATTTCGGGGCGTTTAACACGAACTCCGGTAGATGACCCGCCGCTACTCATTTCTGTGGGGGACATCAATAGCAATCTGACGGTATGCCCCTGCACATGGCACTGAATCACGAAGTGTGAAAGTGAATACTCGAGTGATATCGAACCTCACGAAACACAAGATTTGTGCAGCAACGTTGGTTCCCCGCAACACAGGTACTTGTGAATGCAACTCCCCGCATTTTATCCCAGCACTCCCAGATGTTGCTGAACTTCAGGCGCGTGATGGCTTTCTGGGGATCTTCGAAGCCGTGAACTCTCACCGTTGCACTCCCGGCCCGCAACCTCCCCCGGCGCCGACGATGGTGGAGTAAAAGGTGTGACCCGTGAACACTATGAAATATCCAAAGTGATCTCAGCCAGATGTCTTATGACGGGACGGAGCTTCCAATTCCACGACTCAGCATCAATCTACCCCAAAGGCCTGTCTACTGAAGCTGCGTCTCACCAGTTGCAACACGATGAAGGTAGGTCCCACTCAGCATCCTCGAGAATGGTACTTTGCTCATGACTCTCAGGTCTTTTCATCACTGTCAGCTCTGCCATGGGTCACCATATTCGCACAATCATGCCTTGCCACGGTAGCCGACATTCCCGGTGTCTTTGGGCCAGTGCCAGTCATATCCGCGTCTCCCGGGGGCGACATCTCAAAGTATCTCAAGAGCCGACCAAGTGACTTCGTTCACCCCGGTATCTGGCACACGCATGAGGATCTAGAGCGCATCCGCAATGGGGTCCTCCAAGACATAGATCCCTGGGCCTCAACCTATGCCGTCTTCAGCAAGGATAGCTACAGCTTGTCATCCTATGAGATGAAGGGGCCGAAGCCAGTCATCTCACGCGGCAGCGTCACCAACTACACGTCCTTCGCTTCCGACGCTCGCGCCGCGTGGCAGAATGCCCTGATGTGGTACATCACCAAAGACGACGCCCACTGGAACCGCAGCACGACCATTTTGGATAGCTGGGGGTCTACGTTGGTCGACATCATTGGCACGGACCGATCCCTCCTCATTGGCTTGGATGGTGATCTTTTTGTCAACGCCGCGGAAATCATGCGCTGGGAGGGAAACTGGACCGAGTCTGGAGCACGTTGGCAAGGCGGTTCTGGCTTTAGTATCCAGCTCTACTGGTTGTTCTCACGGCAGTCTATCCCGATTGGTCAGGCAAACTACGGAATGGCTAGTATCAAGGCACTCCTGAGCTTTGCTGTGTATCTCGACGATGTCACCCTTTACAACTATGCCATTAATGAGTACTTGAACAACCCTTGTGCGGGGCTTTACTCCTTTTTTGAACCCGAGACGGGCCAAAGCTCGGAGTCTGGCCGTGATCAGAGTAAGTCTACCTCCAATTCTCGACGACTACCATGACTGATGAATGCCAAAGGCCATGCCATGTCCGGCCTGGGTTGGATCGCTCAGGCTGCGCGGGTAGCCCAGAGCCAGGGTTCCGACCTCTACAGCCAAGGTAACAACCTGCTTCTTAGAGGCGCAGAGTATACGGCCAAGTTCAATCTGAATGGGACCGTCTCGTATGATTCAAAGTGGTATCGATGCGAAGCAGTTCTTGTTAATGGGCCTTGGGCAACCATCTCTCAGGACAAGCGAGGTGTAACGGCTACAAATCCGATGTGGGATATTCTGTACTACCAATATGTCGTAAAGAGACAGCTGGAAGCGCCTTGGGTAACAAAGGCTAAAAAGACTGTTGGAACTGAGGGCCGATTGACGAGCAATGATCATCCTAGCTGGGGAGGGATGATATGGGCCTATTGAGTCATTCCGGCTGGTGGTCACAGATACTTGCATGCAGTTTCTAGCAGGAATAACATAGGTCACGTCAGTGGATTTGCTGTCACGAAAGTCTGGTTCACGGAACTTGGATTATCAAAAGTATGCACACCAATATACTATTCACTTGGCAGGGTGCAGAAAAGGGGTAGAAGACCACGTGTTATGATAAGGATCAAAAGGATAATTGAGTATAGACAAGAAGAATATGCCACATGAATGAGAGTATAAACCACTGAAGAAATAACGAAATAGCAGTGAATGAAGGTCGCCACCTAGTGGTAGAGAGTTTGAGGGATGATAGCAAGCCGAAACTATCGCCTACTGCCGAACAATGCCCCGGAGGAAGAGTGATTGATCCCGACCTTACTCCAATCTGTAGAGAAGGGTACCAAATCCTAGCTGATCGTAGCCGCCGCTGGTTGTGCCGTAATCACCGCCACCTCCCTCGGCACCCCCGGCTTCTTTAACCACGTGGTCGCGCATTTGCTCGGTCCAAGAAGCATTGAGTCCCTTAATGACGCCGTAGTGGTTGTAGAGCAACTCCCAGATAGGTCGAAGCCCGCCACGTCCAGATGCACTGATATTCACAGCCGTGCCGTGACTGTTGGTGAAGTTGGTGAAGGGCACATCAAATCCGAGGTTGTACTTTGCAGCGTACTCCGACCTTCGTCGCGCGTTAGTATTGATTTCATTTTCTTGTGATACATCTTACTTACCCTGCCAAAATCCTGTTGTCGAGGTACGAAAACAAGTCATCGCCCTGATTGTAAGACTGTTGCGCAAAGACGCCCAAGAAAGCAAAGTCCAGCAGAGCATGCCCTTGGTCACGGCCAGCCTCTTGACCTTGACCAAGAATCTTGCCCGAGCCTTCCTCTTCATGCAGCTCCCAGATGGCGATCTTGATGGCACCATTGCCAGCACCGTTCTTGAAGTAGTTAACGGCCTCGTTGTACATGGTCTTGTTGTCCGCCAAGATCCCAATAGCCTGCATAGTGCACATGTTGGCCAAGTCCCAGTTGGCCCAGTAATGGTCAATGGATGCACCATTGTGATTGACGAGAAAGTTGTGGTTCATGGGGTAGAAGACTCTCTGCAACATCTCGGCCATTGCAGACAAGCCGTCCCATCCATTCCACTCACGCAAGATCTCGGCTGCGTTGGCGAGCTGGAAGCCGTAGATACCGGACGCGAGAAATTTGTCCGAAGAGCCGTTGATGTAGATGAGCGAGTCACTCCAGGCGTCGAGAATGCGAGCCGACGCGTTGGCGTGGGCCTCGTCGCCGGTGATCTTCCAGGCAATGGCATTAGTATAGGCGGCGTGGGCGTCGCGGTAGAGAGACGGGTAGTTTTCCGGGTTACATTCGCGACCTGCGCCGCCACGGCACACTGTTTCCTTGGGATTGGGTTTGTAGGCCGCGTTTGCGCGCGTCTTCAGCTTGCTCCAGCCGGTTGTCCATGGCTCCTTTTGGGCGTTCACAAGGCCGGTGATGCGGTCAAAGTCTTTGGCAGTGTGGAGCAGGCCAGGGTGTTTGAAGGTTGACCGGGAAGAGTTGGAGCAGAGCGCGTTTGCCTCTGAAGCCCATAGAGAGGCCCCTAAAAGAATGACAAGGTGACTAGAAAAGGATGTGAACTTCATGTTGTCGATGATTGGGGCTTGAGACCAGCCCAAACTCTCTCGTGAATAGGATTTCAAAGAATGGAAGGTGTGATGGCCAAGGTAGTCCTAGAAACGCAAGTGGTGGCTAAGCAGACCGTCGGGATATATAACCTATCTGCTCAATCACGAACCAGAATCGACCCATTCTCGGGAGTTGTTTCGATATCTGATATGAATTTACTGCCCAATTCTAGCGCCCGGGACTTATCCCGCCCATAGTGACAGTGGGTAGGCAAAAGAATTCGAATGTGATAAAGAACACATCGAGTTTTTGTCGGCCCCTGACCAGGTAGGCTTCGACTAATCCTTGCGCCCCGAGAACGAGATTTAAGGGGCGTGTCAGCTGAGACCCAAGGTCTATTGTGTGGAGTCGAACAGAGTGCCGAGCAGCCTAGTTGCAGATCCATGTGGCTGTCAACGCCGTTGAAGACCGGGGTGGCACGCCGGAAACTATCCCGGACAAAATTTCCACCGCATAACTGACGGCTAAAAGACAACTGCAACTGTCTGTATGAACATTCAATCGAGCGAATGTGTTTTGTAAGTTGGCTCACTCCGTCCGCTAGAACTATCAATGATGCATAATGTGAATATTCGACTAAATCATGTGTCGCTGTGACTATGCCATGAACTGTAATTAATTATAGAGATGGTCAAGCTTGGATTTTGATCATGGGATCTCAAATGGTTTAAATTTATGGCTAGCAAGTCCGATAAACATGGGAGACGAAGCACCTCAGACAACTAATGTTCACAAGTGTTGTGAGAAAACGCGCGTGTTTAATTGAGTCTACCTGGTAGCGGCATGGTGAATCGAAGAGAACAAAAGAAATCATAGAAAATATCTAATACTGGTACAAGCCAGATCCAAGAAGGGCAGAAGGTGCCAGATGAGCAGCTGCTGAGTTCAAAGTTCCAAACTTTTCCAAGACTGCCGAAAGAGTGTTGTGAGCCGGCTGGAGGCCACCGTCTACCCATCCACCAAGGAACGAAGTGCAATCGCTGTTGATCAGAACCCGCGAAGTCTGAGTCTGGTTGATTCTCTCCCAATCATAGAAAAGAGACTCAATGCTAACATCCTGACCCGGGAATCCCAGTGAGAAAGCACCGTACGAGTAGCGGTCAAGCGGCCAGTGAATGAGGTAAATGTCGTCGTCAGTGACGGGCTCAAGGAGGCTGGCATACTCAGGGAAGTCTGACTCTTGCATGATTCTATCAATCTGGGTCTTGAGTTCCGTGAAAAGCTCCTTGGGATCCGAGATAGCCGTCATCTGCAGAGAAAGATCCTCCCAGGCATAGGTGACGAGGACCATGCCGTAGTCGGGGTGTCCATAGTCCAGAGTGTAGGTCTGCGGCAGGTTCGTGTCCGAAAGAATGACACGAGGGAAACCAGCCGCCTGATTTTCCCAGAACTTCTTGGTTCGGATGAAGAGCTTGGATGAGGCGGTCATGTGGAGATCGTTGATGGCTCTTTGAACTTCCAAGGGCATGATAGGGTCCTCAGTGGTCTCCGAGACCGGAGTGAAGGCGTAGTTCATGGCGCGGTTGCTAGTTCCGACAACGACAAGGTCGTACTGAACATTGGTGGAAGCACCTCCAGAGGTCTCTCTTACCCCGACAGCAAGGCCGCCGAGGGCATCGCCGCCGCCGCTGGTGACCTCAGCAACTGTGGAGAACTTGGTCTTGACACCGAGCTCAGTCGCCTTGTCCCAGATTGTCTTGGCGAGATCACGGATACCGGCAGGCTGCAGGCCGGAATCGGTGACCTTTGCAAAGACAGCTTGGTCTGACTCGAGACCGTTGACAACCAGGCGGAAAACGGAGTTGAAACCAGCAGAGTAGACAGCGCCAAAGCCGCCAGAGCCGATTCCAAGGGTGCCGAAGCGCTGGAAGTCATCCTCGGTCCAGACTTCGCCGCCCGGAACATCCCATTCGTGGCCCTCGCCGAAAATGCGACGAAGACCAGTGTAGAAGCTGTCGTCGCCGAAGGTGTCCAAGTACTTTTGCCATTCTGGAACGGCAAGATTACGAGTGGCAGTGTCGTTGGAGCTGAGCCAGGTAGTAATCTGACTGCCGGCAGCCAAGGTGCTGCTGCCGCCGGTCAAGCCCTTGGAGATAAGCTGAACCCAGCCATTGTTGACCTTCTCGAAGCCCGTGGGAGCAGTGTTGGAGTCGGTCCAAGAAGTAGCCTTTTCCTGGTAGTAGACAATGGTCGGGACCTTGCCGGGGTCGGGGAAGTTCTGGATGAAAGTGTAGTTGAACTCATTGGCGTAGTAGTAGAGCAGGTCTTCCGAGGGAGGGAAGCGCATAGCGCCCATCTCAGCCACGTTGACTCCGTCAGCCGTGGGAAGAGATCGAAGGCGGCCTCCGACGCTATCAGTCGCCTCAATCAAGGTGACATCTGCGCCGGCCTTGGCCAGGTTGAAGGCCAGAACCACATTGGTGATTCCGGCTCCGACGAGACCAATCGAGAAGTTGGAGGGCAGACTGCCAAGAGGCTGGTTGATATCGCCGGCAGCCTTGTTCCACTCAGAGTAGATGAGCTGAGGGGTATCAACCCAGGCTTGAGGACGAGCCTTCTGCTCGGCAGCGCTCGATGATTGCCTCTGAGCCAGACGGGAACCAGAAGTGCTGCCAATAGGAGAGAAAGAAGTGCGCTTGTTGGCAGAGGCCTTGGAGGCGTCCTCACTCTTGAAGCTGAAAGAAGGGAGCATTTTGATTGTGGTACGTGAGTTATTGAGATGCTGAGGGCCTTGTGAATGAGAGTGATCTGAGTGAGACTGTGAGAGCGATGTCCTTCAGAAAGACAATGGCAACTGGCTGGGAGACGGCCTTCTACTTATACATCGTTAGAATCATATGAAACTCCGGGCTTCTCTAACAAAAACGATATGCCGACTGGATTGCCGGCTTAACCGCCGGCACTATCTGTCTCTGTTCCGGCTACAAGAGATATCGCCAACATGCTTCCTCACCTGCGTGCAGCTTGAGTTGCAATACAGTCCACATCGACATGCAATAGGCAAGTTTTGACCCTGCCACCTTGGTCGACACAACTTCTCATGAAGAAAACGTAACATTCTCTGAATAATGTCATTTTTCTGCCCGTCGTGGCCTCAATCCTGGGTCGCTCGTGGTTCGAGAGAGAATTTTCGGAATTGGGTTTCGCGCCGAGTCATTCCCTTTGAACTATGGAGTCAAGTCAACGTTCGTTGAGGGATATATCTATCAACTTCACAAGTCATCTCGCTTATTGGACTATTGGGTTAGCGAGCCTCCAAGGCTAAGGACGGGTCTACTTGTTTCCGGTAGTCGAATGGAGAGA